AGCCTCCTGAAATTCCAAGTGCAAAGGCCGCCCCGGTATTGGAGAGTGGCTTTCACTGGTCTTTCCTCCACTACATCTCTGAGCTCAATGTCTAGGTGTGGGATGGGCTCAGAGCTAAGCTGATTGGAGAGACGGGGGATAGTCATTCCTACCAGAACGCACTCGCAAAGGTCGATAGGCTCATCACCAAGAGGCTCTTCGACAAGGATAGCTCGATCCTAGAGTCAAGTGTGGCTCAGGTTCGAGCATTGAAGCAGTTTTCCCTTCCTAGGGATGAGGTGATGCTGACGGAAGTGCCGAACATGGGCTTTCATCTGGCCCTTAAAAGCTACTTGTTGTAGGGAGCTCTAAACGAGCAGGAGTTGTTTTCTCGGCTTGCTTTCACGTATAAGCTCCCAATAATTTTGAAGAGGCATTGGCTGAGGAGAAGGGGCCAAGAAGGCGAGGATGAGAAGGTTGCGGCACTGGAGGCCGCCCCGGTACTGGAGAGTGGCTTTCACTGGTCTTTCCTCCACTACATCTCTGAGCTCAATGTCTAGGTGTGGGATGGGCTCAGAGCTAAGCTGATTGGAGAGACGGGGGATAGTCATTCCTACCAGAACGCACTCGCAAAGGTCGATAGGCTCATCACCAAGAGGCTCCTAGACAATGATAGCTCGATCCTAGAGTCAAGTGTGGCTCAGGTTCGAGCATTGAAGCAGTTTTCCCTTCCTAGGGATGAGGTGATGCTGACGGAAGTGCCGAACATGGGCTTTCATCTGGCCCTTAAAAGCTACTTGTTGTAGGGAGCTCCAAACGAGCAGGAGTTGTTTTCTCGGCTTGCTTTCACGTATAAGCTCCCGCTAATTTTGAAGAGGCATTGGCTGAGGAGAAGGGGCCAAGAAGGCGAGGATGAGAAGGTTGCGGCACTGGAGGCCGCCCCGGTACTGGAGAGTGGCTTTCACTGGTCTTTCCTCCACTACATCTCTGAGCTCAATGTCTAGGTGTGGGATGGGCTCAGAGCTAAGCTGATTGGAGAGACGGGGGATAGTCATTCCTACCAGAACGCACTCGCAAAGGTCGATAGGCTCATCACCAAGAGGCTCCTCGACAAGGATAGCTCGATCCTAGAGTCAAGTGTGGCTCAGGTTCGAGCATTGAAGCAGTTTTCCCTTCCTAGGGATGAGGTGATTCAGCCCATGAGCCGTTTGAGGTGACTATTAAGGCCTTGAAGGCTCGACTTGCTTACTTAGACTCAGAAGGGTATAAGGCGGAGGTGGTGGAGGAATTCTGCCACCATGTCCTAGGCAATATCGAAGTAGGATTAGCTTGTAAAGTTGGATTCAACTATCTCACCTCCTTGCTTCCTACCAACTCTCAATCTACCCCAGACAGTCTCAACCCCCCTCGAGTCTCTTGTTGCCTTGATTTCTTGAAGGATATTGAGACGAGCGAAGGGGGAATAACACTAGAGGCAGATGACGGGGACGACAAGGGCGAGCCCAAGAATGATCAAGAATCTACTCCCTCTCACCCAAGCATCACCTGTCGTTTAGCATGTCCCAGCTCCCTAGTCAAGTGTCACTCTCCCAATCCGACACGCCGACACGAGGCAAATCCTAAAAAATACATAGGATACGTGTGTTCGACACGTGTGTCCGACACGGGCACGACACGAAACGGCTTCATGTTATGCATGTCCGTGCTTCATAGAATAACACTAGAGGCGGATGACGGGTATGACGAGGGTGAGCCCAAGAATGATCAAGAATCTACTCCCTCTCACCCAAGCACCACCTGTCGTTTAGCCTGTCCCGGATCCCTAGTCGAGTGCCACTCTCCCAAGATCGACCCTCCTGAGCTGTTATCTATTTTCCTTCTCTTTTATTATTATTATTTTTATTATTAATGTTAATAATGTAATCATTCAGACATGTCAATGAAAATTTACTCCTCTCTTTTATTATGGAGTTCCCATTCGCCTTCTATTCTGTTTCATACATTCATAGTTTTGCTTTGAGTGGCCGATAGCGAGGGTGAGTAGATTTTACGTGGTGAGTGACTTGTGCACGTGGGCGAGTCGACTAGCTCGCCCTTTACGCTTCTCTTATTGGTGATGGAATGATTTAGGCTTATTTATAGTTAGCGAAGGTCTTTGGATTAGGGTTGACCGAAAGGTTAGGGTGCCTTGGTTTTAATGGTGCCAAGGTCTTTTGAGGTCGGAGTTAACCAATAGATTGGATTGCCTTGTGTCTTATGGTGCCAAGGGCTTTTGCTGAGTGCCTTAGAGTTACTAAGAGCGCTAAGGTCTTTCAAAGTCAGAGTCGACCAAAAGATTAGAGTGCCTTGGTATTATGGTGCCAAGGGCTTTTTCTGAGTGCCTTAGACTTAATAAGGGTGCCAAGGTCTTTTAAGGTCGGAGTCGACCAAAAGATTGGAGTGCCTTGGTCTTATGGTGCCAAGGGCTTTTATTGAGTGCCTTGAACTTAATGAAGATGCCAAGGTCTTTCGAGGTCAGAGTAGACCAAAAGATTAGAGTGCATTGGTCTTATAGTGCCAAGGTCATTTGATATCTGTGAAGATTGTGCTACGAGAATATAATATCGGAGGTAGGATTCAAAGATAAGAGAAATTCCCATACAAATTATTGAAAATATTTTTTGAGGTGCTCGATATTCCAAGGATGATGCGGGATCCTTCCATTAGGGCTTCTTAGTCGATACGTGCCAGGGTGCAACTCTTCGAGGACTGTGTAGGGTCCATCCCAGTTGGGAGATAACTTGGCGCGTCTGTTGTCTTTGTCAAAAGCAGCGTTTTAAAGAATAAGACCACCAATGTTGAATCTCCTGGGTTGAACTTTCTTGTTGTAGTATCGGACGACGCGCTGCTGGTTGATGACTTAGGATCAGAGCGCTTTATATCAGACTTCGTCTGGGAGATCGAGTCTAACCCGAAGCTCTTCTGCATTTAAGTCCTCGTCAAATTGCTGCAATCTGATTGTCGACATGCCGACGTCGATCGGGGTGACCACTTCGGCTCCATAAGCTAGCTTGAAGGGGATTTCCTCTGTCGAGTTCTTATGAGTTGTGCGGTAGGACCATAGGATACCAAGTAACTCTTCAACCCAATTTCCAGCCGCCTCATCCACCTTCTTCGCCTCGTCCACCTTCTTCTTCAGAGCTTGGAGGATACATTTGTTGGTGGTTTCGTCCAGTCTATTACACTTGGGGTGTGCAACTAAGGAGAACTTAAGGTGCATGTTGTACTCTTTACAAAAGCTTTAGAAGCCCCGCTATAGAACTGAGTGCCACTGTCTGTTACAAAGAGGGGCACACCAAATCGGCACACAATAGACCTTCACACAATATTAGTGACATTGTTTTCATAAATTCTAGCTAAGGGCTCAACCTCAATCCATTTTGTGAAGTAGTTGATGGCTATAATTAGGAACTTCTGCTGCCCTGAGGAATTAGAACATGGCCCAATAAATCCCGACCCCAGTGAGCAAATGGGATCGTACTCAGAATGGAGGTTAGTTTGGTAGTTGTTGCTCATGGAATGGCCGAGAAGAGTTGACATTTCTCGCACAAAGAGGTGAGCCTCTTGGACTCGGCAAGTATGGATGGCCAACGATACCCCTGGTGAATGACTTTTTGGGGGAGAGCTCTAGCCTTGGGGTGATTCCCACGCATTCCCTCATGGATTTCTTTGAGAACATAACTAGCCTTCGATGACTGGAGGCACCAAAGGTAGGGTACCGCTCCACCGTTAGAGTATGACATCCGATAGAGTTGATCGTTGATCATAAGGTAGCGGCGAGCATTCCTTTGTAGACTCCTGGCTTCAGTGCCATTCTATGGTAGGGCGCAGAGGACTTGACCAATCCTAAAGTCAGCAAAACAGGCTAATAGCTCTTTAGCCCTTCAATTATAGGACCATCCTTGAACATTTGGCTGACTACTCTCCATTCACCTGACGAACAAGTTGGGAGTCTGCTAAAATGTAGAGGTGCTCGACCTTGACTCCCCGTGTGGCTCGAAGGCCAGCTAGGAGCACTTCATATTTGGCCTCGTTGTTTTAGACTGAGAAGACAAAAAACTGTTCGTGGATCGACCCATCTGGGCTACATAGGACTACTCCTTTGCTATCGGTTTCTCCAGAGGATCCCTTTAACAACCACCAATAAGCAAACTTCTGAGAATCATATGCGGTGGTGCATCTTGGCTGAGGTACAGGGTCTTGACTTCTTGAGAAGTTGATGGCCCCTACCGGGCTAAAATGTAGAGGTGCTCGACCTTGACTCCCCGTGTGGCTCGAAGGCCAGCTAGGAGCACTTCATATTTGACCTCGTTGTTTTAGACTGAGAAGACAAAAAACTGTTCGTGGATCAACCCATCTGGGCTACATAGGACTACTCCTTTGCTATTGGTTTCTCCAGAGGATCCCTTTAACAACCACCAATAGGCAAACTTCTGAGAATCATATGCGGTGGTGCATCTTGGCTGAGGTACAGGGTCTTGACTTCTTGAGAAGTTGATGGCCCCTACCGGGCTAGCGGTGAAGGCGCGACTGGTTCATTATCTGGTAAGTTGACTCAATGAGGAAGTTGGCCAATGCTTAGGCTTTGATAGTCGTCCTTGGCTTAAACTGTACATCGCACTTTCTTAGCTCGACCGACCATGTGACCATACTTCTTGAAGTGGTGACGTTGCTGAGAGCTTTCTTCAAAAGCAAGCTTGTCTGGATGATTGGTCTTGACTTCTTGAGAAGTTGATGGCCCCTACCGGGCTAGCGGTGAAGGCGCGACTGGTTCATTATCTAATAAGTTGACTCAATGAGGAAGTTGGCCAATGCTTGGGCTTTGATAGTCGTCCTTGGCTTAAACTGTACATTTTGGACAAGTTCTCTTGATCACAATCACTAGAATTCATTTGTTTGCTCTAAAAAATCCCAAAGCCAGAAAATAGAGAAGTTGCACTAAAAATATATATAAAAAAGCGAGGAATATGAGGTTTTTCATCTTACTGAATACTTTGGATTTGACCTCCCAGTTCACATTCCCGTTCCTTGGTGCTTCCTCTGTTCTTTCTTCTACACATTTTTTTGTTTATAGACGGTGATGGAATAGGAATAGTTACATCCCCGTGCTGTCCTAAGCTTAGTTTGAGAATCGCCTACATAGTAGCAAATTTATATGCATGTATTAATGGGTACCAATATACGCACGTACATGGTTCAATACACTAATACATATATTTCCACGTGCGTAATGTGTGTATATACATAATGCCATTGCAAGAAGACTTCTATTTAAAAGAATGATATACATTTAAATTTATGTGCTTTCATTATTTCCTACTTATTGTATTATTTAAAATCCAAAATACTCATGTTAAACATCTAGAAAAGGGCATTGGGTATGATAAAGATAATCGATAGAACTGGAATTGAAATTGCACACGCAAAATGTAACATAAATTACCTCACTGAAAGGATCTATTACGTCATCTCGCTCAATGCTACTTTCCTGGAACACAAAAGTTCATTAGATTTGAGAAAATAAATTTGATAGAGCTACTGATAGCAACCCGCTTACATAGTTTGGAAAGATAACCAAGTCAACATTGCTAGGTACATCTGCAAGCAACCTCCTTAAAGAATATTCTAGAGCCCCAACTAGATGCATCAATTCATCAGTATCTAGATGGATGATCCAATCCATGCCAGCATAATACACAAACAAAAAATACTTATTGTTTCTATATTTTCTGTCCAATCACAAAATACTACAAAAATTAAAGTTTCGTATAAGTGTTTATAAAACTTATGCAATTGCCATTAAATTAAAAAAAATTATGCAATTGCAATTTCTATGAATTTAAAACAATGTCTCAAAGAAACTCTTTTAAGAGAGATGCAATGACAAAGAAAATAGAAACAAGAAGCTCACTGCAAGGTTAAGGTTAGCCAACAACACAATTGAAAAAAGTAATTCTAGTTATGATAAAATGGCCAAATGCGCCATACCCGTGCCATAACAGTAGCCATCTCCATGTTGAGTGATTGTTTTACAAATAACTCATAGTTGCAAGGTTTGTAAAAGAAGCATGCTAGCCACGTCTCGTTCCAAATACGACTACAAATTTAAGGGGAAAACACATTAGGAGGAAAACGGTATTAGATACCCGCTATCTATGTAGCACGGACACGGATCCGACACGGCCATTCGACACGCCGACATGAGGCAAATCCTAAAAAATACATAGGATGTGTGTTTGACACGTGTGTCCGACACGGACACGACACGACACGGCTTCATGTTATGTGTGTCCGTGCTTCATAGCCCGCTATCACATGCCCCCAACATATATTTCAATAACTTATCAACAATTACAAAAGGCTACATCTTTCAAAGAAAGTGGTAATCAGACATCACTACTGCCAAAACTAAGTAAATAACTACTATGCTCCAGCACATTTCTTTTTTAAAGCAATTCCAGTGAAACACAGTTCATAAGACAAAAACTCAAAGGTAGAGAGTACTCCCTAAAGCCCTCAGGAGTATATTGACCCCTTCTATTTAAGGAAAACATATATTCATATGCTCATTTTAGTGGACTACATGACAAATCTAAACAGTTATGGTGCCAATTCCAACTGCACTCGGATACTGAGAATATCGTAGTAATAGAACTGGTCAATGAAGATCTCCAAAATTCAAGACCATGTACTTATCCAAAAAAAAAAGAGGAGAAATGGTATGGAAGCTGCAAGACACAAGTAACAAATTCAGCTGACGATTTTCAAGTTAAATTAACATGTAAATATTATAAAACAAGATTCTGGGAACACAATCACCAATGATAAAGTCTTCCTACGTAATGGAAAAAAAACATTTAAATATAATCGAGCTCTAATCCATAGGTCTAAAGAACTCTTCAATTTTTCAAACAGAAAAAACCCTTTCGCATCTTGGGATCTATGAAGAAAATATTGCCCGTAAAATCCCAGATTTTACTACATGAAGAAAATCATATTTTTATTGAATAAGTATCATCTATGACTCTCTTGAGTATGCATAGAATTATTTATAAGGATCCAATCCATATCTAGTTTTGTAATAATGTACACATACAAAAGAGTTCTGTTTGGTGTGTTTTGGCCGTATATGGGATTGGAATATATGATGAGCTCT